CTTGATTGCATCTTCCACTTTCATATATATATATATATAAAGTTTTATGAGACCACGTACATATATATATATATATACCTTGAAGGCAGCGTTTAAATTGACGGGTTTTCGATTTATTGTAGACCAGTAAGTTAGTCTTTTAAGGACCTATAATTCAGTTGACGCCTATAGATATACATCGCTTCCCAACACAATTCTTCTCTAAGACCTGCGGCTATTCTCTCCTAAAAGGTACCTCCCTAATCGAAATCTTTCTCACAAATAGCACAGTTAGTCGTTTTCCCAACCGTCTTTCCCCGAGGACAAAATCCAACTAACTTTTTATATTTGTGCTTGTGCTGACCGCTGTCCTGGTCATCTTATTTATTATTGTCTTCGAGTACGTTATTAGCTATTAGTTGACCCCCTTAAGACGGTCATAAAGCTTTCATAACCAGATTTAGTAACTGCGAAGGTTATAACTTTTACAGCCCTAAAATGAGCGAATTTGTGTACGGGGACATTTCAAAGTATAATTTGCAACACTAATAATAACTACCATCAATTATTTATTTCTGAAAAATACAAAAATCGTAGCTGGCAGATTTCCTCTGAAACACTCGGTGCCACTCGGTGACTGTAATATATAATAAGTCTCCTATGCTTTCACTTTCTAACTGAAAAAATCTCATTCTAAACGATGTTTTTTCCTTACAATTTTTTGGAAAAGAATGACCATACAGGGCATGTTGGCGTCAGCTACTGTTCATTTTGAAACTAACTTTTAAATAATTAAACTTTGTTACTAACGATAAGAGTAAGGAAAACAAAGTTACATCTATCTTGACAGGGATTGCGCCCCTTTTCGGCGCAACATGATCGTGATGTCTTTAAATATACATCAAACATGTTGAATGAAAATGATTTATAGTCGATATATCAAAAAGAATGTAATATTTTTTTAATATGCTTTTTTCAAACTACTTTCTGCATAGATTTTTTGAATCTTTTCTGAGTGCATAATTCTTTAGGTTTATTTGATGAGAGAATAAATATTTTGTTAAACTTATCTAGATTTTAGGAAGCGTGTCTACCTACTTAATAAGGGCATCATTATGATAAGTTTGCACAAGAGAAGGGAGAAATGTGCTAAACAATAAATGTAGTAATTTATTCTTTGAATTTTATCTCGGAAACTGTAAATCATGCTCTGAGAAATTGGAATGTCAAGCAAAAGCATTTTCGCTGATGACGTTTGACCTTCGTATAAGTTTAAGTTTATCGCTGTGCCATCGATCATTTTCATCGCAAACAGAATACAAATCGGATTGCGAATCAACAGTGAGAAATAGCTACACGGTTGCCCACCGTTTGCTTTTTTATACATATTTATGACTTTTTCAAATACTACATTATTTCGGAAATATGCTAGATATTGGATACTAAATTCCGTATAGCAAAAGTAAAGAAAATCAAAGTATAAGCAGTATATCGTCATCTGTTGATGTTTGCTGCTAACTATAGTATCTAATCTATAACAATTTGAAGCTTATTTATGTGGATGAACCCACAGCGTGATCGAACAATTTTCTCTTGTTTTTAGTTATTATCATATAGTTTTCTTTAATATATATTTGATCCCTCAGGAACATAATATCGTCGTAATTCTGAGCTGCTGTTGCTTCTCATCTCATTTTAAATTAGACCAAAAATAGCCACTCATTTATTTTAGTAGCCACTCAAATTCTAACAGATTTTCGATGGTTTTTTATTAACCAATAGTAGTTAGTAGTTAATTAATTTAATAATGATTTTCGGTGGTCGATAGGTTAAATACTGCTATGAACAGAAACGAAAGATTATTTGCATCATCAGCAAGTGTTTATATCGGCAGAACGATAGTGATTGCATGTCTAATTGTAGTAAATACTAATTAGAACAACAATTTCACGGGCAATTGTCGAAATATCTCCAGTTCTCAGCAAGTTAAAACGACGTAAACATTAGGCTTTCACCACTTTGTAAACTATGATAATTACGTACCGATCCTTTCAATCGAGGCACGAACGGACCAGATGGTAGGGAGCAGTTCTTAAGAACAATTTTGAATTTTGGCAGAAAGTAATAGCTAATGTTAATTTTCTAAACTTTGAAATTATTCTGCTTATTGTAATACCTCTAATCGCTCAACATGCTTATAAAAATAGAGGAGTGTCTCCTAATTTTGGATACTGCATTATCTTTTGTAATTGAAAATACTAACAACATTTTTCGCTTATAACGTTTTCTTTAAATAAAAACTTGTGTAAATTTAAAAACTGCAATAATTTTGCTTTCTACAAATGTTTCATGTGAAATTTTGCTCCTGTAAGGAAGGAGAAAAAAGAGGTTTGATAGGAGGAAATATCTCTTCAACGGTAAAAAGCAAAAAACGTAATTTTTACATTTTTCGTTTAGGCAGATAAGGCTTACGATTGTCGGTGTCTTGGGACTAGCATCTCCGTCTCGGCGGAAACATGCCCGCTTGCACTATCAAAATTCGCGGAAATGAGAATATTTTGTTTTGCGTCGTGCGACACAAAACGAAGGGTGAATATTAAAAATGAAGGGTTGAATCCATTGCCGTGTGCCATCTCCGTCTGACTCATTCCGTTTCTTATCACAACTAACAAATCAACAGTCGCAAAAAAATCGATTTCCCTTAACATTAGGTTTTTGTGCTAATAAAAATAAATGGAAATCTAAATCGCCTATTGACGTTTCGTAAGCTCTGCATTTCGCTTCTTCAGGACAAGCTTGATGCGAACCACGAACCATTCAACCGAAACCCCAAAAGATCGATAGTAATGCAACGGCTTCTATCAAAACGGGTATATTGTGAAGGTAAAGCTGATAGTTGATTAATTGAAACATGTCTAAAAAACTCCATTTCGGTTTGCTATTCGACTGAGAACTATCGGATTTCACTGAATCCGGCACCGCACTGTTCTAAACAGCGGCGATAAAAAATGAACACAATCGGACTGGCCTACAAGTGGAAGTAATTAATTAAAAGGGTGCGATTGTTCCAGGATTTAGACGTCACAACGACGACGACGGGTCCATGTTCTCAACCCCGATTGAAACACACACACACACACACACACACACACACCACGACACTACGAGCTTACGAGGTATCGTCAAAAACAAAAACGACCAGTGGTTCTTAAAAAGTATGGCTCTCAATTTATTTAATCGGTCGATGGTACTAAAGTTACTAAGTAATGTCTTGACATTAAACTAGAAAAAATATATACTTAAATTAATTACGTTAGACAGTATTGATTAGCAAACTATGACCGAAGATGTCATTTCTGACATAGGTAATTCGCGGCACTGAGTCCAAGTCTAGCCTTATAATATCCTCGGGGAATTTCGCAATTCAAAATATATTATTTTAACTGTGACCACTACTGCACAAAGTAAGAGAACAAAACAACCAAGAGGATAGTCATTTTCGGGGAATCATTCATACCTTACCAACATACGAAGATTATTATTATACACCTTATTCTTAAAGTCTGAATGATGCAATTTTGACTTGTTTGGTTCTGATTTTTGATATTAGAATACGCCCCAGTTTCAATGTGCTAAGAACAATCCTGGGACTAGGTTTTAGTTCGACTTTGAAAAACATCTCGAAAGTAATTACCTATATTATTTTCTAAGGAGGCTAGATAAGAAAAACAAAAAGGAATAATCTTTGATGAATTTTGCTTTTTAGCTGAAATCTGTCCTAGCTTATTGAGATTTCGAGATAACTACCTATCCTAATCTCAAAATCAACCAACCAAATTAGCATCATCCACATATTGAGATTGTTAAGATATTTCAAAATCTGTGTGTGTTAGGGCAATTTTGAAACCAAATAACTTGTTTGCAACTGATTTTGTTAGCATGCGTTTTTATTATTGTCATATTGCGTTTCTTTTTCCTAACATTTTTTGTGAGCGTCCTGTATATTTAAAAGCACCAATTGCCGCGTCGTAACGTTAGGGGATTTGGATTAGAAACCGCAGCTCCCCCGTTCCGTTACCGAGATTAATTTTATCTTTATAGTAGCCGGACTCATCCCCTGGGGTGGGAAAATCATGGTGGACGAAATGATCCTGCCTGTGACATTTTACTGTTACCGTTATTGCGCCCGAGAAAAAATTTAGGACGACTTTTTTACAGTTACAACAAAGTTAAATGTTTTTTGTCCTCTCTTTCAACCGCAAAATATTTCAAAGACATTTTTGTTCTGTTGAACGTTTATACTATAATATTCGTCTATTCGTTCAACAACTTAACTGAGTTCATAATTTTTTGAACAATTTCTTCAGTTTTACAAAATTTTAGAATATCGTGTAACTAGTTCCTTCTAGTGAAATGTTTAGTAACTCTAGTAGAAAGAAACATTAGTTAAACAATTTTTTCACACTTGTTTTATATTGTGTTGTAACATACCACGTTAGATGTCGCAACAATTCACTTTCCTAAGTTTAAAGTATATATTTTTGGGTCATAAGTGATCACGTTAGATGTCATTAGAGTGTCATTGCTTAGCTTTAAATATAGTTTTTCCTATTTTGAATTTTTAGTAAAAACTTTTTTCTAAGATATATGCATGTTTTACATAGGTAAATTCAAAATTACAAGTAAATAATTATATTGAAATAATTGATAATTGATTTTTACCCTCAGATATATACTTAATCGATGAAGTATTATTTACATTTATATAGAACATTAAAGTTTTGTAATCTCTTGGACGAAAGTCGGAACTACAAGATAAATAATTTTCCGCTGATGAAATGCATCATTTTAGATTCAGCTTTTCCAGTTACAATTTACCTTTTCAAAGGCGACTTTGTTTATTTTAATAGTGTTTGTAGAAATCTCTTTAAAATTGGTACAGAGCAATAGATGGGTTGTTACGTAAACAAACATCGACAAGTAATAAAACACGCGGAATGCAATAAAATTTCCAGTTTGAATATTGTTACTTTATTTTTACAGTAAGTAGAAGGAATAATTTACACGCGGATCACAAAGTGAAGGTAACTTCAAAGTCTACACTATTTATTTAATCGTCCTCTTTATGATTTGACGGTTGGTATACGGGCGATTGATCATTCGAACTGATCAAACTGTCGATGGTAAATAACCGAGATTTCTTTGATTTCGTCTTCTGATAAGGTCTCGCATGCGACGAACTTGTATTCAATTCCTCTGTTGTCGAAGACGACAAACTTGGCGTACTACAACTTTTGCTCAGTAATGCTAAAGGCTGTTCCTAAAATAATATATTTAATAAGTAAAAAGAGTTTGTTTCCCGGTAAACGGGGGTATAAGAAACATTAATAAAGACAGAGCATAGATAGAGCCATCGATGAAAATGATTGGGAAAATATAGAGAAACGACTATTAAAATAAAAGATGCAGCAGAGGACGTAGTAACCACTATTGTATAAGTATATAATTAATTTTTTTCGGATTATTGTTTAACGACCTACCTGAAAAAAACTAGCCGTGCATTCGGCTATTCTCTGTCTCCTAGTTTTCCGTCTTCTGTAATTTCCTTTTTCAAACATGTTGATAGATGTAGGGTCCAGCATCCAGTAACTACCCTTACCTCCCGCCTGCTCTGGACCTCCAGGAGACACCCTGTCTCGAGGAACTTTTACAAAACAATCGTTTAAGCTTAAATTGTGCCGTATTGAATTCTGCCAACCCTGTTTGTTTTCTCTGTAGTACGGAAAATTGTCCATTATAAATCTAAAAGCGAAAGAAGTACTTTCTCATTTAAGTAAACCTTCTACTTAATGTATAACGTAAGTCTACAGCGATTTCTCGAACTGGATTAATTGTTGCGAATTGAATAATTTTAAGTTTTCAATTAAAAATTACAGTTTATATCTTAACTATTGTTTAGTTAGCACAATTAGCTCATCAATCGGCAATATCACTTATTCAATTAAAAGAAATATAAAATCTCAACAATCATAATTGAAAATGTATCCAGTTTTTCGATAACTTTTCCTAAGTCATTCGAGCTTTCGCGGCTAGCGCTAATATCCATAAATGTTTACCGTTAAAGTTTCGCCGACGATAACTTTAGGAGTTTTTTTTCGTAGACTGGCAGGTCGAACTCTTTTTTTTGGTACAAAATTATTTAATAAAATAATATACGTGGTTTGTTTACTAACCTGTAAATTCCGCTTAATGTGAGCCTTTGCTTGGGAGAAGAACTTATTGCCATTGCTATCAGGGCGATATACGAATAGGGAGGTTTCTCGGGGCGCGGCTGTTGAAGTTTGACCGGGATCGGAAACCAAAGATGCGAACAATAGGGATACATATATCTCTGACCGAAATAAGGGTTGTAACAAGGGTGATGTAGCCAGTCGCAAGAAAAACAATCCGTCAGATTATCCAAACTATTGTAGCTGTTTAACGTTTCTAATGAAAGTGGGGAAAACATTTGACGGCTTTGACTGAAGAAAACGGGCTTTCTATTAATTTTTTTCCACACAGTTTTTCTATAATTAATTAGAAATTTCAAATTTAAAATATGTATGTGGCAATGATCATGTATTTTCTTTTAAAACATATTTTAATAAATAACGAAAATAAAAAGATTTGAAATGTTTCACATAACCGAACTAGACAACAAAGCTTTCTATTTTGTGATTTATTATTGATATATTAACAAGTTTATAAATTAATAGGATTGAAAACTTAAATAATGGATAAACAATAAAATTATGACAAACAACTATTGCTTATTAAAAATTTCTGGCAACAATTGTTTATTTGTATATTGTTCAGTAAATTTTGAAAACAAACAAACAAATGCATAATAATATTATGGGTAATTAATGATATAACATGTCGTTTTTTACTGCATAGGTATTTATAAATTGATAGCTGTACATAAACAATAGCATATTGTATGAATAATACGGTACCTACAGATAATAATTTGGAATTTCCGACCGAAGGAACGAATAAATTAATGTTATTTAAAATTTCGAACAAAGTTTTTAAAGTTGTTACAAATTAAAATTAGTATCCACAAGTTTCTTTTCCATCGTTAGCAGAAAATTTTCATTTCCGGCAATCATGAATTTAAAAAAATGAATACATTTCTGGACATATGTATTTTTACAAACCTTTCGTTTAATTTTGATTATCGTTTATCCCTTAATTAGACGATGCACACTTTAGGAAGGAAGTTGTATTCGTGTATTCGATTATTCGGAAAAAACTGTATCTGTCGCACATTGAGCACTAAATGTTCCTCGGCGAATCCTGTGGTTTAAGTCACTTCCAACTCCCCTTCCATTAAAAATTCCCGTTCCGTTGTTAATGTGTAGAAAAGAGGACGCCTTACTGTCTAACACGTCGAACATGTGTTTAAATGTTGACAAAACACACACAACCACCCACATAATAATCATGACAATATGTAAACAACCCCGACAATGAATTAGGCTCCTTCTGACTTTAGCTCATAATATATGACATCGTTAACGGACTTGATTTGTTTTTATTTTTTTTGTGTGTGTTTGAAAAGGGCTATTTACTTTATTCTTCGAGGCCGAATTTTATTATTTTTCGGTGAATAGTTATATAATTAAAATGCTAAACGTTTCATGCTGTGATAGGTATGATGTTTTTTTATTCAATCAAATACAGAAGCCTCTGTAACTTTTCAATATTCACTATATTAGTCGAAAAAGTCTACAATTAAAAGACTTAAAAAACCGAAACAATTGTAGAGTTTTTAAACCAATAAAGTGAACATAAAGCTGCAGAGAGGATATTATATTTGATTAACGATCTCGAAAATTATAATAAAAAATTGTTTCAAAACTTTTTAGAGTAAAAGATAATTATGTGTTCAGATGCATGTAGGTACATATATGTGTACGTGACAACTAACACTGTTTGAAGTTTAGTGATTTGATTTAATGAAATTTAAACTACATATTATTAGTGTTGTGCGTGTGTGTTTTCTAATTTCTCGTAAAACAAATAATGACATAAATACATAAGTATCGGATATTTAGGCATACGTGATTCAACACATTTTTTATGTCGGATATTAGAAACGATAGTGAAAAATTAACTGTTTATAATAACAATTAAAAATCTAGTTATTGGAAAGTAAATATTTATTTGTGATACATAATAACTGGCCTTTTGCTTATAAAGACACTCATTAAAATAGTCGTTATCATATTTTATAATTGTCATATTTTTCGTAGTTTTATTTTGCGACTACAAATTACCCGCTGTTAACTTAGAAATATTATTTATCAACCTGTAGTTTATATATAGCATAAATAACATCTTCGAAAGAAAAAGTTACAAGCGTTTAAAATGTGGTGTTATGTGCGGAAAATGAAAATAGATGAATAGAAAAGATTAGAAATGAGGGTGTATTAGTAAAAGCGGTAGAGCAGAGGGTGCCAAAGAAGTCAAAAAGAGGAAAGCGAGAAATAGGATAATGCTTTTACAACACGAATGGCACGTACGAATAAGGCGAAACTTTAGACTGCTCTAACGTTTAAACTGACGGAAAATTTCATGCTTTACAAACTACAAAAATTACTATTAATTTTTCTCCCATGTGAGGAGAAGCTAAAAAGGGATGCATGCATGAAATTTTTTTGAAGCTGATGATTTTATATTAAATTAGTACGTTTACCTTCCATCGGCTCTGGCTGATTATACTTATTTTGGGAGAGACAAACTTTTAAAGTGCAATATGTTTTCGTAAAACTATATGATCTTCCATATTAATGGAAAACGAGTAAATCTAAGTATATAACATGATATAGTAATAAAAACAATAGACAGCATGTACTTAATTAAAAGTTTTTTTGCTGTTTTCATACATACTACGTATATCCATATTTTATCAAAATGTTACAAAAATGACATTATATAATGATCAAATACTGTTTCCAATTACAATTTTCGTGACATCAGTTCTGCCTGGAAAACTGATTGCTTCCTTTACACGGAAAACGTGTCGCTGTTTAAGAGACCAGAAATTCGTTATTTTATTTCTTATTAACCCTAATTTATGTTTTAATGGCCATCTCTAACCCTCCTGTTTATTTATCATAAGATGTTGTTCGTAAAAGATCAAAAGGCTGCAAAAAAATACAAATATATGAAGTAAGCTAATTCGGGCGCTAATGGAGTCAAGGAAGCCATGAATTACGCACCCGTTCCATGCAGTAAAACTTGCGGACGACATATTTACTGCGGTTGCTTTGAACGCGTTCAAAATGATACACATTATTAATAGGTGTTTTGTTTCCAGGCCACACACGATATTTAGCCATCATACAGATAAAGTGAAGAAAATTAGAATGAGCATTGACTTATACACTTGCCACTTACAACCTGTTTAATACCTAATAACGTAAACCGTGAACAAACTGAATATTCGCTTATAGAAACGAATGCTGTAAATCCCCGATAATGTGGTACATCTCCAGTCGTATTAGCTTAAGAGATGTTGTTTTCTACCATTACAAAGTACGATGTTTTCCTCCATAGCTGGGAGATAATTTTGCACTAAGATCATCTGGAAAAATCGTACTTTCGGGGTGGGCGTACGGTAAAAAATCGTATATGGATCTCGGGAAGAAAGTACTCCCTCCCGGTTGTTGCCGAAGTTTGCAGCCCCTTGGTTTGAATGACAATCAGGAGGGAATGCCGTATTTTCTTTCCTTGGTGCGTAAAATATTTACGGACTATTGTTGTTTTCTTTTCCATTTTGAGAAATTCCGGACTTTTACGGTTTTCTTTTTTTTATTCACGGAATTTAAAATTGAAACGTTAAGAAAAAACTGTAGATCTCTTGACTTTTAATAATATTTTGATAGGTGTGTTGTAAAGACATTATAAAAATAAAATTCAGTTATTCTTTTTAATTTGCTTTTTTCAAGTTTACGCAGATCTTGTTAGGATAATAAAAGCAAAGAGTTTTCGTGGGTGATCCGATTCGTTCCACAATAAAAAGTGCCATAAAGGCCATCGGAAAGCAAACAGAACACCCTTTGTTTAGCCAAAAGCGTTTTATTTAGCAAAGCGTCGAAACAATCATTCGCCGAACCGACTACAAATAAATGCACATTGCGCATTTCTAAAGTCTTAAAATACCAAGAAAAATACTATACAGATTTATAACTTCCTAACCGTTTAAAATATAATTAAATTATTTATTTAGTTAGATATGTGTATAGGTACATAGATTTTTCTCATTGAGCACCAAAAATAAATAGACTAGGTATGAGTTTCTTTTAAATAGGAAACGTTACTAAATATACTGAAGTCCTAAAAATATTGGCACAAAAGCGAAATTCTTCAGACGTACCTATAACCATGCACTTTTTTGACATTCTGATAAAAATATACATAGGTATAGAGACATAGGTGCAAGATATTACCTAGATGTTGCAAATCGTCATAAGTAGAGTACACAATTATTTGAAAGATGATGGGTGAAAAGTTGACCAAAAGGATACGTAAGACCACCCGAGTAGATTTTGGCGGCGTGGTCATACAAGCCTTATAAACGACCCATTGGTCGGAGGATCGTAAAAGCCCAACTTACGCAAATACAAAGTAGTAAGTCTTGGGGATATTCTCGAAATGTGGCGAGTGTTTATTTGTAAATGTATGTGAACATTTAACATCACACAAATACAGTGGTATCGAACGGCGATACAAAAGCTGGTTATAACGCTCAGCTAAAGCTAACAAAACCGATTTATGTGCTTTTCGTCAAACTTTTATTACCGGGCGTCTTGCTTTTGATCTGTGGTGTAGGTAGAATATGTGGATAAACTACTAAACCACTCGTTTGTTTTACGAAATTCGTTACTTTTTTGCTTCACATCTAATTTTAAATTCATCTTTTATCTATTATCTGTTATTCACAGTTACTATATTACGCACCCTTGGCCGCAAATTTCCGGAAGGGGTTGCCCACATTTATTAAAGGTACATTTTCTCTGTTTTTTCGATTACGAAAATCACAAGCAACATTATTTTAAGGAACTTTTAAAATATTTTGTATTTTACACCCGGTGATTTATTTTTAAGAAAATTAGAGCTAAAAATGAACGGTTTGGAACATCTGCATTTATTTCAGTCTATTTTTCTGGACGTGAAAATAATTTTTATTGCTAGGAAGGCATTAAAAGACTAAGGTGGTTAAGTAGCTGTTGTAAAACAGTCGTTGAAACCTGATAAGTATCGCGTAAGCAACAATCGAAAATTAATATCTGAGAGAACATCGTCTGCTAATTTAAAAATAAACTGAAGAGAATAAAACTAATTTAACTGATTAAACAGATATATCGTTATCATGATGAAATTTCATCAGGAACAGTTCGCTTTCGATAAGAGGTTGGCGCGGATACATTGGGAGAGTGCTTTATGTATGTAGTATGTATTGTACTTAAAAGTAAGAAATACAAACAGCGCGGAATTATTTCAAAGTGTTTCACGCAAAATTCAAATATTTAATAAGCAGTTCTTATACTCCACCGTTCTGGTAAAACCAAACACGATTTGTGTGCAAAGGCTCGGTTGAAATACAGTGTCAACTCACCAACTTCGTTAAGTCAACAACAAATGCCAAACGGTAAACGTCAAATGTTTAAAACTACACATAAAAGCGGATGCTCAAGAAAAAAATAACTAATACCTACGTATATACGTTTCTATATAGGTAATCATGAAGGGTGTTACGATTTAATTATTATTATTACCTTGTACCACTACGGCTATTATCATTTTTTCGTAGGGATTCTCGGTTTGACTTGATTTTGAAACAACTCTACTTAAAATCAAGACAAATTCAAGTCAAGCAGTAATAACAGTTCATATATTTTGAAAATCAAGCAGTTCTTCAAAAGCAAGTACTTAATTTTTTTTCCTTACTCAATTATTTTACTGGAGTTAAGAGGAGTAGAGGTAGACCTAGATTAGATTACTGTTCGCAAATAGTTAAGGATGTGGGATGTTGTAGTTTTAGGGAAATGCGAAGATTAGCTTAGGATAGGAGGTGCGTGCCCAACTAGGCTTAGGACTGACGACTTTACGATGATGATCAAGTTATTTTCAAAATTGTTATGTTAATGTTCTTCAGTTTTTCAGTTTTTGCTAGATTTTCTGACTAGTTTTATTGGCGATGACGCAATTAGCTCTTTAGTCGTTTTACCAGTTCTCTGTTTAAGCACCGAATCAAATATTTGTTAGTAGTTTTTAATAAGTGGATAAATTATTCCCATGTACACATCGATGTCAGGTAAATATATTTAAATTGTTTGACAACAAGTCAAATAGCAACGATGGAAAATCAAATTCGAACGGTCGATTTTTGAAAAGCTGAATTTTTCAAGCTGTTTCTCGACTTGATGCATCAGTATTTTTTCACTAGTTGAGCTTGTTCAAATTTGGACAGATTTTTCCCATACTTTCTTTCATGAGGCAATGTTTTTTCATAAACTCTCGTAATTGTGTTCAGACTCTTTTCGTAGAAAATTTTATGCACTATTAAAGAAAGGATTTTATCTCCTATCCTATTACATTTCAACGCTTTCACTTGGATCAATTTTAAAATCATTCGTAAAGATACTTGATATCTTTTATTGTTACACATATCTGTAGATTTAATAAGGCGATAGATAACATCCACATAATGCTGTCCCCTTATGAGGAGTTAATATCTAGATGTGTTTTAATCCAATATTTATGTTGAATGAATAATACATAGCGAGTTCCGAATGCGAAAGACAAATATTTAACTGTCCACTCCATAATATAAAACGGTTGTTCTTTCGAAAATTTAATGTCCTAACAGGAGCTGCCGATCTTCAATCACGAGTGCGATTGTTAAACAAGTCGAAAGTCAAACAGCGGCGCGGCGTTGATTTAAAGGCCATTCGTCCGGGACCGCACAGGCTACTCAAAGCGCCGAGTCGCACTTGTTATTAGCTGGCATGTGGTAGCGCGGCACCCGTAATTATCTTTTAAAGAAAAGCTCCTGTTTGTTGATTCTAAGCACATTTGAAACGGAAAAGGCATAAGCATAGCATACATGTATATCCTTTCTGCAGACGGTGTATATCTTCCGTTTCTTCCATGTTGATGACGGACGAACGTGAACGTTTATTCGTCTTCGAGGAAATGTAATAAATTGCGAGATGCATACGTCGAAAACCAACAGAACGGTAAAAGTGTGTCTTACGTCAGATATGGATGAACCATGAAAAAAGAACAGGAAGAAAATTCTTTACGATTTCTTTAATTTTTTAATGTGGTGGTCAGATTGTTATCCAAGAAATCGCATTCCTTATTTGGAAAGAATTTTACTTTATTCACTGTAGTGTTTCCCCCGTCGCCTTCTGCTCTGGTGGCAATTTTTACGCGGAGGTTGTTAAAATGCTTTCCTAAATATGATTTTTTACCTGGGAATTGTGTGACACTTTCTCATCCCTTACATCAGGAGAAATGGTACTTTCGGGTCAGGATTTTAGTAAAAAATGGTATATCAGCCTCGGGAAGAAAGTACGGCATCCTTTCTAGAATATTTCCCGAAAACAATCTCTTATGAGGAGTAGAATCATTAAGAAAGTAATAAATATAGTTATATCAAAATACTTTAATAGAGGCAAAATTTATTGATTGTGTCTTATTTCCGTATTTTATATAACCCATGCTTAAATTACTTAATATAATACTGTTATAGTAATAAATATATATAAAACTTTAATAGGCAAGGTAAATGCTAGTAAATAAAGCATACGAATGTGTGTGATGTCTTGATTAGGCCTGAGGATTTTTCTTCATTAACGCAATGTCTGAAGTCATCATGTCGTTTACGAGTTCATCAAATGTTATTCTCGGAGACCATCCCAAGTTTTTCTTAGCTTTAGCTGCGTCGCCAAGCAGAAGATCCTTTAAAAGAAATTGACACACAGTTAAAATAGAAAAAATTGAATACTTTGATTGAAAACTTACTACTTCTGTTGGTCTAAAATATTTCTTGTCTACTTTGACTCTTACTATTCCAGTGTCCTTTTCTTTTCCGATTTCTTCGAGTCCCTCGCCCTCCCAAACAATTTCTTTTCCTATAAATTTAAATGCTGCCTCTACAAATTCTCTCACACTTCTTGTTTCTTCGGAAGCAATTACGAAATCGTCTGGAGAATCCTGTTGAAGCATTAGCCACATTGCCTAAAAAATATTTAAAATATTCTTTTTTTCTTTTTATCAAAGGCAGACAAAGTTTTTGATGATAAGAAAAGTGAAAGGCGTTTTTATTAATCATCTTAAAATTTGAAGTAATAGATAAAAACCAAAAATTACATTTCTATAAATTATTTTTATTTGTCGTCTTTAAAAAGAATTACTGACGATAAACAGAAAATTTATGACTTGAAATTTTTGTTGCTGTAAATTACTTATTGATAGGTACCTCGATGTAATCCTTTGCATGTCCCCAATCTCTTTTAGAATCGAGATTACCCAGAACGACATTTTCTGACAAACCTAAATGTATTTTAGAAACCTCTCTGGTTATTTTCCTGGTAACGAATGTTTCTCCCCTTCTTGGACTTTCGTGATTGAAAAGAATACCATTACAGGCAAACATACCGTAGGCTTCTCTGTAGTTTATAACAACCCAATACGCATACAATTTAGCACAGGCTAAAAGTTTACATTTGAGTCTTATGTAATTAGACATTAACTTCTTAAAGAAATAAAGTAAAATAATAATAATTTTTTTAATTCAACAGGGGGAGTTCTTTTAGGCCTAGCATATAATAGTTCCTAAAATACTTACTACAAATCGGATGGTGAAATAGACAAATGTTCAACATTAACGTAGGTATTCCTTTTAGTTGAGTAGTCAAGGACCGGTATATGTATTAAACTTATTTATTTGTTAATTTTCATTCATTCCAGAAATTTAGAGTTACATGAAGCTTTTAATGTAATCCTTAATGAACAAATTGGAGTGAATACGACAAAACTTTTAAACTCTCAACAAATATGTTAGTCTTAATAACTCTGACACAAAGTTTTTCACAAGAATATTTAATACAATTTGTGAATTTGTGAGGATTTTGAAGTTTGTGTAAAGATTGGATATAACAGAAAATTTTAATTAGGTACGTTACCAATGTATATATAAAGTTTTATAGCACTGCCTTTGCACACGCCTCTGAAAAGTGTTAGTACACGCCTTTGAAATCTAATTTTTCTTGAGACAATGTAATGATTCTGTTTGCTAACGTTTCGTGAATTAGCAATAACATTGTCATCGACAATTTACGAAATAAAATATGCAAAAAAGGTAAAAAATATTTTTTAAAAAGTGATTTGCGTAAAAATGTTTGTAAAATAAATTAATTTGATAAGTAAATTATCATTTTTGATAAAATTAAACTTGTACTTTTTTTGTTTGCCCGTTTCTATTACCTGATATAAGTATAATAACTACTTAGGTATTACCTAATTAGTTTTGAAAGAAAATATCACTTTGAGTAAATAACATCTGTTGTATTTTTGATAAGATATGACTGTGGCTCACTCAATGCTAAAACTTCGATTTTGATAAAAGAGTTCGCAAACTATTTTCGTTACCTAGATTAATCCGATTAGGCGTTGAAACGCATTATTAGATACCTACTAGTGTCAATAACAATCGTAAATCATTTTTCTTTTTATTGAAGAAGCTTATCAAAACTCTCAGTTGAAATAAAAAGGAAAATTACATTACTTATTTGAGTTTAATGTAAAAATGTAATCCTAAAATTTCAACTTTATTTACTTAATTATTCTTTTGTACTTAAAAATAGATGTTATTAAAAACAGTTACCGTATGGGGATCGAGGGTAAAATGGCGTCTTTTCCGTCTGTGGAATTTCTTGAACTTTACCATATAGCTCTGAAGTGGAGGCTTGATAAAATTTAGTAGTCTTTTCGAGGCCACAAGTGCGAACAGCGTCCAACAATCTCAAAGTTCCAACAGCATCCACTTCAGCTGTATATTCGCTCAAATCAAAAGAAACTTTAACGTGACTTTGGGCAGCCAAATTATAAATTTCCTCGGGTTTCACTTCACCCACTAGTTTTACCAAATAACTCGAATCTGTCATGTCGCCGTACCTATTAATTATTTTTTAATTATGTATAAAATGAGGCTTGAAGGCTGAGCTTTCTCAATCTTTCTACTTGATTAATAGCTATTAATTTACCTGAGATGCATTTTACCGCCTTTATGACTATATTTATCGGCATATAAGTGTTCTATTCTGGATGTGTTAAATGTGCTGGATCTTCTGATAATTCCGTAAATTTCATAGCCTTTTCCTAACAGGAACTCAGCTAGATAAGAACCATCCTGAGAGATAAAAGTAAAAAATACAAAATTTGCTCAAGAAGAATAACCTTCCTGTTGAAGTTAAGTTTCAATTATTATGAAGTCAACTTCATTTCGTTATTTGATTCATTCGTTAGTTAAGATGATAGTTGATGAAAATGAAAATATTGAAGAAGTAGAAATAGAAGAAATAGACTAAGATGGAGAAAAGGAAGAATCAGTCTGCAACAACGAAGAACTTTCAAAAAAATTATGATATAATTTACAACTCAGGGATTATATTATGCCCACCACAAATAGAGCATACCATGCAAAATAAACGCGCTTTCCACTCTATTTGAATGGCAAATGGAAACGAATTAAGCGTATGCCCGAGATTATTAACTCTATACCTTGAAAATGATCAGACTTTTGATTTAGATAACAATCCAAATAAACGTTAAAAACGATAATTACGAAATATTCGAGAAAAACTGTTTTTCTGTAACCTTTGGCCGTTTGTAATTTTTGTAGCCGTCCAGTTGGCTTTATGAACCTTTGAGAAATTATTTGTAAAGCTAAAATAAAGGGAACACTGTCGGAAAATCTTCTGTTGGATTTTTTACATGTTTGGTTTTTTTAATAAAGGACTGTGCTATTACAAATACAGCAGTTACGTTAAAATGTAGGGCATAAAAAATAGAGTACAATTTTTAATTTGTGTACTAGGTTATTTAGACAGAATACGCTTACTGTGTACGTAGCCACAGCTGTATTGTATTTTGCTTATCTACGGTATTTATCTATGATGGTATTTTTAAGGTTAGCTAAACGTCAACCTAATTGCTAAAAGCAGTAAAAGTGAATCACAAATTTGAGAATAAATTAACGTTAGAGTGATTTTATAGGTATTACTTACCTGTCCAGTAATGCCTGTGATTAGTGCAACTTTTTTCTTATAGTTGTTAGCCATATCCGCTGCTTTACCACCTCCGAATCTATCTGGCACTACTATCAGAAGGTCTACCTTAAATTTTATGTATCGTTTGTTTCACTTCATTCCTTATCTCTACGTTTTAGTTCAATAAAATCTTATCGCTTACTCATACAACAAAATTATGTTTGATTTTTTTTTTTTTTGATAAGCAATAGGAAAAACTTATTTGAAAGATCCAAAATTGTCTTCCAGGTTATTCAGAAACAAAATGCTTGCTCTAGCAATTATTTGTTCATGCACTTTTTTGCTGACAACAGTCGAGGTTTGTTTTGATAATAAACATAATGTTTACTAAGTAATGTTTGGTATTGTTAATTTATTGTTTTGTAGGCACAGTCATATGAAAACACACGCTGTAAGTGTGTATGCCCAAAGTTTAGTTCGGTTATAAACAGTAGCACAGAATCTTCTCATACAGCTAGAATATTGTACATTGGAAATGGACCTCCAAATAAATGGTTAGTATTGCGAGCAACTGCAACTATTATGACCTATACCTATACATTTTCTTCTAGTAATTGTGATGAAGTTGTTCTTCCAAGAATTTCTGAACAAATTAAAGGAAAGGAACAAGAATTTTGTCCTCGATGTGAATGTAAATATGAAAATAGAAACGTAAAAACGATACAATATGTCGTAATTTTTGTTATTTGGGTTATATCTGTATTGGTAGTGTACATGGCCTTTTTAATTATTTTGGATCCACTACTCAACAAAAAAGTTGATGGTAGTTACCAGGAGCATACTAATGAAGATGTAGGTTTGAAATTAATGTATTCAAAGTTTAAGTATTAATTTAAATTATACTTTTGTACTTTTTTACCAATTTACATTGCAGGATGAAACGATATCAGGAATGGGGGGTCCTTCCTCACACAATATGAGTGTGAGGGGTAATGTTCTTAACAGGGTCGGACATCAACAAGACAAGTGGAAGAGACAGGTAAAAGAACAGAGAAAAAATATTTATGATAAGCATACAATGCTGAATTAAGTTTAATTGTTTATTATGTGTAATCTCTTTTAAATAAAGTTGCTTAAACAATTAAATACCGACTTTTGTTAATTATAAAATTTTTTATTGACCTTTGTTGTAATTAGATATATCGCGTGTTCACTGATGTATGTAACAAATGCTTTTTACACACAAAAATTAATAAAATGGTACAAATATAACACATTAAATTAATAGTGTAATGACTATTAATTTAATATAACACATTAAATTAATAGTGTAATGTCTTTTTTATAATAATAATGCGGAAAAAATAAATTCGTGTAGAACGAGGTATTCTTTTTAGGTTTATCAGGAAAAGTAAACAATGAATTCATAGCATTTCCTTAAGTTTGTCATAAAATACAAGTANAATATAACACATTAAATTAATAGTGTAATGTCTTTTTTATAATAATAATGCGGAAAAAATAAATTCGTGTAGAACGAGGTATTCTTTTTAGGTTTATCAGGAAAAGTAAACAATGAATTCATAGCATTTCCTTAAGTTTGTCATAAAATACAAGTACTAGGGCACCTCCTGTGCCTCGAATAACATTGGAAAAGGCGCCCTTAAATAGAGTACCTACACCTTCGTTTTTTATTAATTTCGCCCAACAATCCAATGTATTTTTGTATTCTTTTTCAGCTCGTCCCGATTGCATCATCATTCGCCTTCGGATGGTATCAAATGGATACGATATAATTCCTGCTACATTTGTAACAACCTAAAAGTATACATATCCCCATTTACGTTTTATATTTATATTTTCTAATCAACTTAGAATTACCTGTGCAATCAGGAATGAAATTATAACGGGGGTGTTTTTCGGATCCGGCAAGAAAGCTTTAAATGTGTCAAACATGCCAAAATATGCTCCACGGTACATTATAATACCTTGCACAGACACATTAAACCCTCTGTATAATCCAACTATTCCGTCACTTTTTACAGTCTTTAGAAGACAGTCTACTAAACCAGTGTATTCTCTTTCTCCAGCTTTACCTACATCCGCACCAAGTCTAAAGACGAATGATTAAGTAATGATGAATTAACAGAAAAAATTGTAAAGTACCTTGTTCTCGCATAATCTAAAGGGTATACAAAACACAACGAAGTAGCACCAGCCGCACCTCCAGATGCTAAATTACCAGCAAAATATCGCCAAAACTGTTTCTTTTTATCAATCCCACCCAGAAACAGTTTCTTGTAGTGATCCTTAAAAGCGAAATTTAACGCTTGAGTTGGGAAATATCTAATTACATTAGCCAAATTTCCTCTCCAAAAGGCTCCAACCCCTTGCTCTTTTGGTATTCTTATAAAACAGTCCACAATACCTTTAAAATGTTATTAAAAATTAAGACTTCATTATGATTTTTTTAATGGATCATGTTATATAAAACTAATTGCCTTTATAACGTTGATCTTCAGGAATTTGTTTTGAAGACGCTTGAACTTGAAGAAGTAATTTTACTCTTTCGATCGGAGCTACTGCTGTTTTTGCGACTGCTGCTGAAATGCCTCCAGCCAAGAAATCTTTCATAAAATTTGATGAATTTGAAAGATCCGGTCCATCCCCCATCTTGGCAATATAATGAATGAATTTCTGTGAGACTTTAAAGTTTTTTAAAAAAATCACATTATACTTTGGTGTAAATTTTTAAATTCGCAAAAGAGAAATGTGAAATGTCAAACCGTTTGTGAAATGATTTTGTTACTTGGATCTTTTTCATCAATAATTGGGTCATTTCTATTTGTATTTTTAATTAATATTTATTTAAATTAGAATATATTGAAAGAAATTTAAAATTAAATTATAAATCCTTACCACCTTCTTTGTAAAAATAGTAAATTAAATAACAGCAATATAGGATTTATTTTTATTTTAATTAAAAAACAACGCAATTATACATATAACTATTATAAATAGTTAAAATTGAAACGTCACTAAACTACTGTTGGAATTTAACAAACACTCGGTAAAAGCAGGCAAAACTTTTACCAAGTGTTTTCGTTAAGTTTTTGCAGTACTATTACAAACGGTTTAAAATAAGTTATTCTGTCTTTTGCTTTTTAGCTGACGTTTCTCCATCTTCCAAACCTTCCAAGATGGATTTCGGCTGAGTTTTAGAATAAGCGGGTGCAATCCAATAAGGATTCTCTTCTGCTTCTTTCGCGTACTTGAGAATGGCTTCTCGTGGATCTTGATCGTCGTCGACACGTTTACTTAAACCTAAATTTCGTATAACGTAACTGCTCAATGTGCCTCCGCTTGAAGCCAGACGACCCCCTTGGCCGGATGTTATTGGCAAGTCTGGTCTTCGGGATTTAACGGGATCCAGTCGATCTTTCTCCATCTGCTTCCGGCTTGTTTTTCGCCGTTCCTGACGAAACAAAGGAAGCGCGTGGGGAGTAATGACCTGCTGAGTGCTGACCACCTCTGCATGTTTAACTCGTCGATGCAATTTAGCGGCACAAAGGGTAATTCCCCTCAAACTAACTTTATCATCATAGTAGCAATCTATAATTCCACTTCCAGTGCCAACGAATATTTGATTTAGTTTTGGATGCCAAATAATTTTGATAACATGTGAATTGGGTGAAGAAATTGAGTGTTTCAGTGTGAATGTTTCTGTATCATAGAACAGCAGCTTTGCATCGGTTTCTCCTTTATTTATTGAAGTTCCCGTTACAAACACCTACAAAACACGTGCAAAAAGAATGAAGTTAGTGAAACGCGTTAAGATCTAAAGTTAACTTATTTTACCGAATCATCTGGACTGAAAAGGCAATCAGTTGTGTCATAACGTGCAAAAAGCTCTACTTCTTTATGGATTGGTTGTTTTAGGCTCCGTTGGTCCCAAACCTTTAATGTATCATCACAACTACGCGTTAATAGAAGGGACGCTGCAAAATGACCTTATTTAAGACAAATGATTATATACCATTATTATTTTTTTCAGTGTACCTATATGAGCATAAGAAATGCAAGTAAATTCAGCCTGTTGATGTGCATTCCTAACCAAACTTGCAGGTGAAACTATACTTTTTCGCATGTCCCATAGTTGAAGAGACCCATCTGGACAACCACATGCAAGAATACGACCGTCTCTACTAAAGGAGCATGCTGTAGGGAAAGTTTTCAAACCATTTTGAGATCGTAGTTTTACAAGTGTTTTATGATTTTTACTGTTATTCAGGTCCCATATTCTCGCCGTCCCATCAGCACTAGTCGTCAAAAATTCCTGTATGTGTAAGATAGATATCAGTTACGCAAGCAGTATGCATTTGTTTTTTCCAAAATTAATTACCTGTCTGTTTACAGGGTTCCATGCTCCACTTAACAGTCCTGCAGTGTGTCCTTTGGTTTTTGCTTGATCGGTAATGTACATGTCTCCTTTAACAGTTTCTAATTGTTCAAAGCCATCTCGGTCTAATATTTTAGCCTGAGCTGCCCCAGAAATAACCAACAGTAAGTCGCCAGTAACAGAATATCGAAGCACTCTAATGGGGTGGTTGTCACAGGGTTGCAATGTCCTAAAACTGCGCATTGTGGAGTCCATTCCAGCAAAGTCCCAAAAACTGACATCATAATCCACAGAACCTTAAATGATAAAAAAAATATTACATTGGTTACCCATCACTGGGATAAAAATTGGTATATACCTGAAGCCAGTCGTGCCCCACTTGGGTCAGCACTTAAAGCAGTAACAGCTTTATTTCCATGTGTCATTTGTGCTTTGTGAGTACATGGTATTAAACCCTTTTGTTCTTCACTTTCACTGTCTGAATCTTCATCTTCATCAGTATTGTCATCTAATTTCTCTTTTAATTTCTTTTTAGTTTCCTTTTCTGGTTGTACACCATAAACTAAAGTATACAAATTTTTCTGTTAATTATGTATAAACGTTAAATGAAAATATTTTACATTTTGGTATTGGAGGCCCTATAAATTCATCATCTTCACTACTTTCACTGTTATCTGATTCTTTACTATCTGCTTCAGGAACTTTTGTAATTTCTCTTGCAGTTTTTGTAACTTGTATCATCATTTCCTAGTAATTCAAAGAATCATTACTAACTGTTTGCTACTAGATATATCAATTATTTTTACCTGAACATCAAAACTTTTAGCTTTCTTCCCAAATGTTGTTATTCCCATTATGTCCTTCATTGTTTGTTGCTCATTATCATCATCAAGGGACTCAATCTGAATGGGTTTTTGCTGAATCCCTGAGGAAATTTTCTCAATAGTACCAATCTTTCCAGTAGCTTCAACAACCTCCGCATTTTGACCAAAATTGCAACTTATTTTTCCAATGTTTATCTTTTTTTTGTTCATGATTGCAAAACTTCTATTCTATATTTATGTTTGTCTAATGAATTCTACATCAGCTTTTTCTTTACTCTTATGAAACCACTAGCAAAAATAATAANCAAATGTTGTTATTCCCATTATGTCCTTCATTGTTTGTTGCTCATTATCATCATCAAGGGACTCAATCTGAATGGGTTTTTGCTGAATCCCTGAGGAAATTTTCTCAATAGTACCAATCTTTCCAGTAGCTTCAACAACCTCCGCATTTTGACCAAAATTGCAACTTATTTTTCCAATGTTTATCTTTTTTTTGTTCATGATTGCAAAACTTCTATTCTATATTTATGTTTGTCTAATGAATTCTACATCAGCTTTTTCTTTACTCTTATGAAACCACTAGCAAAAATAATAAAACAGGACAATAAAAGTGTACCTCTCAGCTTTTTTTTGATAAGTTTGTTTTGTTTATTTCTGTTACATTAGAATATCAGACCAGCAGATTATTTAAGGTTAGGATTATCTGACGTTTGTCATTATCATCTTTCAAAATGCTCTCAAAGTAGTTTTGGCTCAAAGTTTAACGTTCCCTGTCCCAACTTCTGACTAAGAAACTCTTGTTTGGAAGTTTATTTCAGAATGTCTATATCTTTAGACATAAAATTTAAAAGAGTTGATAAAGTGTATCAGGAGGGGGTATGTAACTACCCATTTTAATTCTTGTTAAATAATACTTTTTCTTTCAGGAAAATGTTACCGGTATTATAATAATACAGTGTAATAACAATTTAAAACACGATGGCATTGCGTTAACTATGGAAGGAGCTGTTAATTTACAAGTCAGTTCAAAGAATGTTGGAATACTGGAAGCGTTTTATAATGCCGTAAAGGTTTGTTGTAATAATTGCTGGCTCATAATAAATATCATAACACCATCAATTTTAAGCCAATACAACTTCTGCATGTGGTATGTGAGGTGTCAGGTCCCGGGCGCCTACCAAATGGTTGTACAGAAATCCCCTTTGAGTTACCTTTACAATCACGTCCGAACAGGACCCTTTATGAAACATACCATGGTGTTTATGTAAATATCATATACAGTATTCGCTGTGAGATTAAACGATCGTTCTTATCAAAAGATTTACTTAAAGGACAGCAATTTTTAGTACAATATAAACCTAAAAAACCAGAACCACCTCGTCCTATCAGTTTTAATATTAGTCCTGCTTCATTAAGTATTGGCGGTGCGGGAGCACCCGATTTTCTTCTTAAAGGGAAATTAGATTCTGCACGATGCAGTGTTTCCAAACCTTTCACAGGTCACCTTATTTTGGAAAGGTGTGAAGTTCCAATACGCTCCCTGGAATTGCAGCTGGTAAGAGTAGAAACTTGTGGATGTGCCGAAGGATATTCCAGAGATGGTGGGACAAAGTTCTTTTATTCCGTTTGATCTTGCATTTTATATTAACAGTAACTGTGTTTTGTTTTTCAGCCACTGAAATTCAAAATATCCAAATTGGTGATGGAAATATCCCCCATAATGTCCCTATTCCCATTTATATGATATTCCCCAGGCTGTTCACGTGTCCGACGTTAATTACGCCTAATTTTAAGATAGGTAACTGGGTAAAAAGAAATTAAACTGATGACCAATTTCTTTTTTTCAGAATTTGAAGTTAATATCGTCATCGTTTTTTACAATGACCATTTAGTCACTGAGAATTTTCCAATTATTTTAACTAGGGAGCTTTAATTTCAGGCATTAAAATGAGGAATAATAAGCATCTATAAAGAAATATTGTTTTTATATAGTGTTTTATTTTAACTCCTACTCATACAAGGCATTTATATCCCAACTTTTTATTTAAACATAAAAATAGGACAACAACTTATTTAAATACATACAATTTAATTTAGTTGTAATTTATTATATATAGATGTTAATCTAGAAAAGCCAGTTAGCTTTAAAAAATCATTAGATCTAGAGCTGTGAAAAGTTATTTACATATATGTTTCACCTACAGCTAAGCTTAAGACACTTAATGTGGGTTCTATCTGCTTTTCCAATGCCAAAATGTGCCCCACATTGCAACTGTTATTGGCTATAAAAGTAACTACTAAGGGCAGCTTGTTCATTTGAACAATCAAGTATTGAGGGTATGAGCAAATAAGTGTTTTAGTTTTTCCTAGACCAAGTTTTCCTCCTTGGTCCACTGCCAAAGCGAATGTTGATAAAAACCCTGGACGCATGGGGATTTCAGGGGCCTTGTCAGTGTTGACTTTCAGCACTTGTACCCCATCGCGGTCAGTTATAAGCACAGAATAAACACCTGGTACTTTTTGAATCATTTGAAGAATGTTTTTCTTTATTTCTTCTACCATTTTGTTAACTTTCTGTGCTAGCTATTTATTTTGTTAAATATTTTGCCTCTGATACTTAACTTAACATTCGTATAATTTGTTGGTACAGCTCTTATAGTTATTCCAGATTATTTTACAATACTATTTGTTGTTACCTTGGTTTTTACACACTAATAACATTAAATTTCTTATATTTTTATATAGCACAATTTCACATGCATTATCTGCTTAAGTGTTTAACACGTGTGTATTGTTGGTTGCATAAGCAAAACATTATTTTTCTATTATTTTATATGACGTAACTCTCGGCGGCCATTTTGGTTTTATACGTCATCAAGGAAGTATTCGAATAATGGTACGGATTTGTATGCAACAAGCTCACCACATCTTATTACCTTTTTACTTTTCTTATTAAATTTTTTTTACAACTTATATATTAAAATGTTATTGAATCACTTGCGTTAATGTAAATTATGGCTAGTTCCGATACTTTGCGTAATGTTACGGATTTCTAGCGTCGGGGACTTCTGTTATACGTACACTTTTTTTTTAAGTTGAAACTTTTAATTTTCATTATAATTAGTTTACAGTTTATATCTTTTTAATAGGATAGGTTAATATCATGGAGGCGAATCGTTCCTGTTTCAGTACTTATCATATTTATGAAGATTGTTTTCATTTTTAAATTACTCTATGTTGTAGGTACAGTATTACTACATATCATACATGTATTCAATTGATTGGTTTTAATCATCGGCTTAATAATTATTCTTTATTCTTTCATTTTTTTTAGTTATCACCAAGTTATAACAACATAGTTGTTTGAAATAATAATTTAATGCCAGGAGTGATTTTGTTTTTCACTTAAAAGTTTTTCTATACGTAGGTCATCACTGCAAACACGCTTACTGTTGATTCTAAGTATAATAAATTATTTTGTCGTAATAATATTATATTATATTTATTAGTTTTCAAAATCACCAACAGAATAAACAAGAACCTTTGAAGTTAGAAGTGGCAAAAGGGATCAATGTTTTTAACGTACCAAGTTTGTATGCCATTTAAAAATAAAACCAATCTTTATAAATAACGATACTGATGAAAAGAAGAATCGCTGCTGTGATGTTAACCTTTACTATTAAAAATACAAGCAATTAATAAAATAACTTTTACTGAAAATGAATAGTTTCAACAACCAAATGTTACGCATAGAAATCCGTAGCATTAGGCAAAGTAGTAGAGCTTATTATGTTATAATTTACATTAATCTTATTAAATGACATTAATCAATGTATAAATTATTTTTATTCATATATAATCCGTGCTTTTAATTTCGTATTTTAATATTCTTTAAAATGGATGGGTAGTCGTAAAAGTTTAAAAACTTGAACATCAACGAAGATGTGATAAAGTTATATCAGGGTCAACTTCTCTCTTATCATTCATTGCTATCATGGTCATTCATTCAGTTTTTCAATTCGTCTTTTAGTTGTAGAATGTAGAGCGCAATTTTATTAGAACGGAATGTCGCGTAACGTGGTGGCGGTTGTTATTTTACATGGACGACTTTGTGTTGTTAATTTATTTGCAAATGCAGTCAAGTTTGAAGAAGGTGATGCACCTAAATTTGGAAATGTAAGTTTTTTCAAATCTCTTTGTCTCCTTGTTTGAATTCATTTTCTTGATAAATTTTTGTTGCTAGATATTTAAAATACATTACATTTTGTACATGTACTTGATAAATTTTCAGTCTAAAGGTCATTTAAATTATTGATCACAATGATCATTTCGCCACATTGAAGTGATTCTTCCACCGGAAGGAGGCTACTGTGTTACGAAATCATCACTGTGGTCTAAAGATAAGCAATTTTTAATTGTCTGTTTATTATTGTTATTAATGTCTTAGTTAAGCATTTTCAAGAACATTCATTTTGTGCTAAAAAGCACAAACTATTTTACCAGCATATGTACATATGTTGATTAAAATTGATAAGTAGGTACCTGGGAACATTTTTTTTGACATAATCTTGTATTATGTATTGGTATCGTCACTCTACTAATTAATTAGGTAAGATAAATTAGAAATAAGTTGCGAAATGGTAGAAACATTTATTCTTATGGGATTGACAATTACAGTTTCTTACGATCAGATAACATTGTTATTATATTACATTTTATAGACGGGGAAGGGGTCGGATTTACGATTTAATATATATACGCTTTTCTTTTATTGAAAATGTACGTACATACCTATAATAATATACATGATCTTAAATTAGGTAATAGGAAAATCAATTGTCAATTGATATTAAGCGTTAGATATGCTTACGCTATCTTAAGGTCTTTAAGATACATATGTACATACATATATTGTTTTACATGTAACAATATATTTAGAGCAGGTAATTGTGGTGTACGTTTGGGAGTTATTTATAATTTGCTTTGTTTATGCCTTTTAATTTTTTTATTCAGTCGCATAATTACTTGGTGATCGTTAGGTATTTGAAATTTGAAATCTCGTCAGAAGTGTGAATCGTATTAATACTAATGCTGATTTCGATATCTTATTCAGTTCCTAATGCTTTTTCGAAGAGGATGTTGTAATTTATTAGGGTATCTTCTTTCAGTATGCTCTTATTCCGGATGTTGTCGTGATAGACATCAATGGAAGATACCGTAATAAATTATTCAAAATTTAAGTTAAATTGCAATCATATTTTTCTTATACTTACTGCTAATTACGTACAATGCTGTTACAATTAATAAAATATAAACAATAATATTCAGTCTGTGTAGTCATTTTTCTAATCGAATGTTTCTTAGGAACGCTTTGGTTAAAAATTTTAAGAGATCGAGCTGAAATTTAACCCTTTTAGAAATAAAAAGTATTTGACATCTTACGCAATATATGATACCTATTTAACAATTTATGCTATTCATTAACATTCATTTACTATTAAACATATACACACATATGCATGTATAATAGTTTAACTCTTTTTTATAGCGTTTCTTTCCCTTATCAGTTATTTATTTTTTAAGTAGTATCGTGTATTACATACAATATCAGTCGCCATTGGTTGTCACTTCGGACTTTTCTGATTTCTCGTGTTTTTTTGTTCGTTTTTATACTGGAGTTGAAAGTGGAGCAGCCGAAAGTGATATTGCTGAGGGTTTATATCACACCAAGCTCTTGTGATGGGTGATAGTGGTTGTTCCTGTAGAGGCCGGTACCATAATGAAACCCCTTCGGGGATGGTTTTCGGCGCAGCGTAGGGTTCTGAGCAAAGTATTTCGGAAATCTTCGGAAAACATGCAGTAGATATAAAACGTGATCGAATAATTCGTTATCTCTAATAAATTGGCCAAAGCTCGAAATACCTGCAATAAAAAATTAATTTTAACAATATTAACAAATAAATAATTTAATAGTATTTTTACCTGATACGGGTATCTTGTTAAGTTCGAATCCGATAGGGTAATGTTTAATATGACCATGGGTGAGACGCAAACTAGGAAGAGGACGCTAGTTGACCCCAATAACATGACCAGACGTCGTTCTTCGGCGAATTTTCTAGAGTCATCCTCCCCATTACTGGCCCGACTTAATGTCATTCTTCGTCTTTTTTCACACGAACGGCGATACACGATTAGAATACGCAAATTTAATATGGCCAACAAAACGATGGGGACCACTTTGAACAACAATTCCAATACCACGGTGTAGGCGCTATACAGAGGGTGCTCAACTATTTCGGGTACATCTTGACGCTGATATAGCGATTGACCAGTCGGATAAACCCTATACAATATAAAACAGAAATTTGTACAATGAAAATGTGTTGAACGAATTCTCGTCTAATTTCACAAATATCTTTTATATGAGATGAAATTTGCTGAATTCTCAGTTTATCAGTGAAGAATTAGGTAGAAGATGAAAGATGTGATTGTTTTGCGACGTTTCGTTGACTTGGTTTGCGAACCCCTTCAGGCAAGTGTTTCCACGATCGTCTTTGTAAGTTTCTAATAGTTGTACATTGCCTAAAGAGGTTGACAAACCAATCCAATTAAACGTTGCAAAAGGAAATCGTGTATTAATTTTTCTCCACTGATTGGCTGAGAACTCGGCAATATTGATCTCATTTCACTTGCAGTTGGCTTAGTAGTCTTACCGACATGATATGACGCGACTTCTAAATATTGCTGGAAGATAGAGGATAAATGTTGCAATGGGGATGATGGCAACTGCCCTGTGGGGCGATCCAAGAACAGGTCGTGCATGACCGGGATGACAGACGCTCACGTATCTTTCGACGGTCAATGCCAAAAGCATTATGACGCCCACTCCCAAGCATCCGTTGCCTAGAAAAAGTTCCAAATGGGCATGATAGAAAGCTAAAGAGATGTTTTCCCATCGTCCCCGGTCTCTATGAATCAGCACTCGCCACGCAAACGGGATCGCAAATAAGATTGCCAAAAGGGCTGCCGCGGAATATCCTGCAAATGAAAAATAATCATCATCGGCGTAAAAACGTTAAGCATTTTGGGACCTGATAAACAAAAAGTCGTAAGAAATATAATGAAACATATAAATCTGTACCATTTCTACCTAAACACTCCCTTCTTATATCTATTATGGATTCCGGCTGTGGAAACCTATATTTTTATATCCTGTTGTTTTGTTTTTATATACACTATGTAACGAAAATTACCCGCAGCGAAAGAAAATAGTCTTCTTTACCCTACATATATTTTTGACAATGAGGTTCTCTTTTTTGTCAGTTACATTGATATAGGTGGCTGTTTGCTGTCGACCGATTGAAGTTAATTATTATTCGGTTCGACAGACTTTGCATACAAACCACGTTATCGGGAGATAACATTAGAGACCCATGTTCAGGCAGACTAATTTATATGATAATACCACCTAAAACTCTTGGAAATCATTTTCCACCCTACGGGTCAATGTTGGTTCACGTCTCTACTTGTTTTTAACACTTTCGTTCTTCTCTTTTTATTTTACGTATAGTATATTAGGTATGCTTTTTCTTTATCGTTCGGTATGTATTGATATAAAAATTGAAATTGTTTAAATAACGTGAAGAGAACTTCATTCATATAGGGACTTATAAAAGTCTAAACATTACTATATTTTGTGATTATTATTATGATATCACTCTTCACTATATGCATCGGTATACCACACTTGCGAAAGGAATTTTTTGATTTTAATATTTCATGAAAATCTTGTATTTCCCTGCGCGCGTTTTAGTTAGTAGAATTTAAACAAAATTCAGGGTGAAATTATTGTAGGGTCTTTTGTCAGTTAATTGCTTTAATGTTTTACTTTCTGTCGAAAAGTTGACGGTTTAAATTCGGTTCGGGAAAAAGCAATTTTCTCGATATGTTTACGAGCAAATGACCGACTCCTTTGTAATTGGTTCTTTCGGTTTCGTGTCAGTTTAATTTGTTCCGTTGTTCAGTGATCGTATAAACGTCTTTATTTTCGCCTTGATGTCAGTTAGGAAGCGAACGAGTGTCCCCCTTTGCGAACGGGAGTCCGTTTCTAAGTATGCCCAAGAGTCGCTCACCCACTTTTTATTCCATCCGATAACAAAAACACAATTGGAATGGTAGGAAAACGATGGGAAATTGCTCACGTGATACGACCGGACGTGTTTTCCTTACAAACGGACAAAGTTCCGAAGAGTGCATATGGCGTCCGTCGTTTCAATTGAAAGGTTTTATTTATTTCTAAAGAATGTTAGGTAAGCTTTATCGAACCACCGTCAGATGTGGACCGCGATCTCGAATTTATTACTTCTTTGGAATATAGGTACCACAAGTAGTTTTGATCACTTTTGTCACTAGCAGTATAATATGCCTTTTCGATGTCGGGTTTTTTGTATTTCTCATAACAAGCTCTTTTAAATATTAACCCAGATGGTTATAGAAATACTTCTTTTATCATCTCAACATTCGCCGTTCCTTTCTGAACGACAACTGAGAAAAATAAATAGCTAACTCACATCTATTATAAGTAAGTAAACAATGTGCGATCGCAAAAAAATGATCAAAGAAATCGGCAAAAGTGGGAAATAATGAAATATGATATGTCAATGTCGAGAATATGTGACGCCAACAAATTACCCGGCATCGTCGGCTGTTCGGGAACGCGAACCGCTTTTATAATGACTAATGATGCGCTACAATCCGAATTTTCTTTTTCACTTCTTAAAATGTCGACGAAATTAGCTGAAGAGGTCGTTAACCCATTTTCCACCCTGTTTCCAATTAAGACTGAGTATTTCGTTCAAGGATCTTCTTCTAGCTAAGCTAAAACGTTACTTTATAAGAAAATGTATGTAGGCACTAACGACGGAAATTACATTTATCTATATAATTTAAACTTTCGACAGACAATAATTTTATAAATCATGTTTAATAAAATTAAAGCAAGAACCAAGAATAAAATTATTTCAGTTTAAATTACTACTATCAGGACTAAGTATACAACGGATTACTTTCTTAAATATTATAACCGAAATTATTGTCTGATTGTAAGAGCAGATGGGGGTGTATAGGAGCCTGCAATTCTAGTTGATTCATCAGAGACTCCTTCCTTTCGTCCGAAATCCCTAACTACTTGAGAATAGTAATCTCATGTAGATCTGTCTCTGTTTTTCTTTTTCTGTTTGTGATAGGTCTCTAACTAGCCTTGCATGCCAGATAAGGTATCTTACTATAATAGCTTTCGTTTTCATTACTGGTTAGAAATGACGAGGTATTAGACTAATAGAAAAAGTAGGAGAATAGAGAACGCTAAGAAATAGACGAGTTATAAGTTGGTAGGATATCTTCTCAGGCATGAAAGGTTAGTTAGAGACATATTAGAAATAGAACAAGATTCAATAGGGGCAGTTAGAGATGCAAGATCTAGTTTTCTTCAAATGCGAAGATTGGCTCAAGTTAGGAAGTGAAAATACATACGAGTCCAACCAGTATTCTGACTGAACCCCTTATGATATCCGTCGCGCCTTCTGTTTTATTACTTTCTCATTTGAAACCTTTTCTATTCACGTTATTTTCATCGTCCTCTCCTGACATCACATCTCAGACGATGCTTTTCCGGCGAGTCCACCGGAATCGTTTTACATCCGTGCAACGCCGTACACCAAACACTTTTTATATTTTTTTCTGATACCCAAATTAATAGTTTACAAGTACATAGGTGATTTCTGTTTTTTTTTTTTTTTTTAATCGACTGGACCTTCCATCCTGACTTCTTGGATACTGAAAATCGGCGACTTTTAGTTTTCCGTTTATTTTCACATAATTATTAATCAAATGTAAGTGATTTTTTATTTCTACATTAGCTAATCAAGATAATTTTTTGTTCTTCGGAAAGTTTGAATGCAATATTGAAGATTTTTCAAGATCTATTAAATGAATTAATATAGAACAATGATCTGCAAGTTCAGTTTTTTCTGTTAACATAAAAGGGGTGCAACACAATTAAATTAGCTTGAAACAGGTATAAATTTTAGTAGCGTATGCTTTGGATTATTGAATTTATTGTTCCGTTTTTTTTATTTTTAGAAGTGTTTCTATTAAAGTAGATATGTGTAAATGTAACAAAATTGCAGTGATGATCCATGCGGAATGTTTGTTACTGTTTTGTATAATCATTTCCCAAATGAATAATTCAGTTAGTTTCCTTTTTCGTTGTCGTGTAGTTTCCTTTTGTCCTTACTTAATATTCTGTACGGGGTGCCAAACAAAGCCGTTAAAACCACGTTAAGCTCTGAACGAGGTCATCGACTCTTTTAATTTATACATACACCGATTTATTTTTCTCGAAATTAATTTTTTAAAGTTAATTAACCATGCTAATAACAAAATTTATCAGATGTAAAAAATAAATAGTTTATTTTAGAATATAATTAATTAGTTACCAATCTTATTACTAACAGTTGTTTATTTTCTATATCAAAGTTTAAATTCAAACAAGTATTTTTAAAACATACATTAAGTGTACTTAATACCGTTATAGGAAAATAGAAATAAATTGACGTCACGTCTTTTCTTTTAAGGAAAATGCAGCATCTTATATCTATAATTCTTAATAGCGTAAATTGTATTCTTCTTTCAGTATTATTTACAATAGTTTTGTTTTTTATTTTTTACTTCAACATATGCGAAGATATTGAACTACTTAATTTTTTTTAATATTAACTTTTATATTTACCAAATTTTTCATTGTAAAAATTGTTTGAAATCCTTACAATTTTCAGGATCATGCATAAGGCTTAAGGTGCAAAGCAGTGTGCTATTTTTAGGTATAAATGTGTAAAGCTGTTATTGTTAAGGGTAGCTGTTTTATTCACACCAGCAATATCCCCATCAAGTTTTTGTTTCCGTTTCTTCTTTAAATCCTTTCCCTCTGTTCATTTTCCTTATTTCAGGTATTATATAATGATTTTATACAGGATTTCCTTTAGTTATAAAAATCTTCAAAGAATCTGGTAGTGAAGATTTCGATGGTAACTCCGTAAGCCGATTATTTCCCACGTGAAGATACTTGAGATTAGTGAGAGGCTTTATTACGTCCGGTCTTAAATGCTTCAACAGGTTACGATCCAAGTAGAGAACTCGCAGTTTAGGTAATTTTGAGAAGGTGTAATTCGTTAATCTTCGAATTTGGTTGTTGCTCAATGAAAGAGTGGTTAGCGAGGATGAAACTAAGAGAGGGCGTCTTTTGGGAATATACACGTTGTTATCAGCCAGNGTACAAGTTCCTGATGAAGGGAATAAGCTTCCTACTAAAATCCTTCAAATTAGGTATTTTCCCAATATTAGATTCTAAAATTGTTTCATTTTGTAGTAGACATTATAATTTTAGATACTTGTGAAGTTGTAAAGAACCATATCTACTTATATAATCGACCAAATTACAAAATTTATTTTTAAGTCAGTCAATGTTGAACAGAAATAGGCACCCGACTTATGACAGTTTCTCCCCTTCCTTATTTCGGTTGTAGGTATTTATGGTAATTTTTGAAAAAGAAAATATGGGAATTGCATTGTCTTACTTTTAATTTTAAATAACTGGGTAAAAACAATTTTGTTACATATTATGGTATAGGAGAAAAGCACACCGTGTGTTTGGAAAGCTACTTAGACGATTAGTCCCGAGGGTGTACTTCCGGTATTTTCGCACCCCGCGTTGAAATTGTTTTCCTCCCTGTTACCAAGGTGCGCGCTATATCATTTTTATAGCTCGATATTTGTTCTTCTGTTGTTTACTCTCCTTTAGGAGCAGCAAGCGACTTCCTTTATTTTTCCGCTATTTTTATCGGACGGCAGTAACAGAACACCAATGAAATTGCAATTTTGTAGTAAGTTGATGCTATTCGATCTGTTTGTCGATCGATATCGACACTGGTACATAAGTAGCCATTAAATTTAATTAAAGTAGATTGGTAAGTCACATGATGCAAGTTAACTTTGATAAGGATATAGAAAACCACTTTCATTTTGTGTTAACCATTTTCACATTCGGCCTTTAAAAAAGTTGCACTTTCTTTTTATTCCTACACTCAAAATAATAGATATTTTATAACGTCTTGGATACCGTTAAATAATTAAACAATTTTTAAGATCTGAATCGTGATAACTATTAAATTTAGTATAAATAATGTGTTAAATGTGTTGTAGATACTTGAGTACGTTCTTGATCCAGAATTTGCTACTTTAGTATAAACGCATCTTAGTGTTCATAAGATTTACTACATTTTCGATGAGCATTACAATCAGTTAATCAGGACATCATCATCATCATAAAGTAGTTAGTCCTAAGACTGATTGAACACGCACCTCCACTTTTTCCTATCCTGAAACTATAACAGACTATGAGATGTTTTAAATTTAAAAATTATAATTAGAAGTCAGAGTTATGTATGTACTTTTTCCTCACTACGTTTTTAGTACCTAGTTATCGGATAACGGAAAACAGATAAGTACAGAACATTGATAAAGAATAATGGTGCGATACCTAATATTATGCAAATATTGCAATTTTGCACACACGTAGTTATTCATTTTCAGTGAGACAGCGAATTATAGTCCATACAAAGATTTGATAGAAAGTTACAGAGAATCGAGCTGACGCATCATTTCTAAAAAAAAGTTACCGGCTAGACGCAAAAATAGCGTATTGAAATTAGAAGTTTTTCAAAAATAAGAAATGTATATATTAATCTTGCCCNCCTTACAATTTTCAGGATCATGCATAAGGCTTAAGGTGCAAAGCAGTGTGCTATTTTTAGGTATAAATGTGTAAAGCTGTTATTGTTAAGGGTAGCTGTTTTATTCACACCAGCAATATCCCCATCAAGTTTTTGTTTCCGTTTCTTCTTTAAATCCTTTCCCTCTGTTCATTTTCCTTATTTCAGGTATTATATAATGATTTTATACAGGATTTCCTTTAGTTATAAAAATCTTCAAAGAATCTGGTAGTGAAGATTTCGATGGTAACTCCGTAAGCCGATTATTTCCCACGTGAAGATACTTGAGATTAGTGAGAGGCTTTATTACGTCCGGTCTTAAATGCTTCAACAGGTTACGATCCAAGTAGAGAACTCGCAGTTTAGGTAATTTTGAGAAGGTGTAATTCGTTAATCTTCGAATTTGGTTGTTGCTCAATGAAAGAGTGGTTAGCGAGGATGAAACTAAGAGAGGGCGTCTTTTGGGAATATACACGTTGTTATCAGCCAGGAGAAGGGTCTCAATTTTCCGTGTGAATCGTAAACTTTTACTGCTCAACTTGCGGATTTTGTTTCCGCTCAGGTCGATCATTTCGAGATTTGGCAGTCTAAACGTGGCAAATTTTGGAAACAATACGAGATTCATATGATCGGCATAGAGGGTGGTGGCGTTCGTTATTTCGGGCGTAAAGGGGAGACGCGTTCTGTTTCCCATGCCACTGATGTCGACGCATTGCACTGCAACAGGTGGCAGACGCCAAAGCCCGGTGGCTTCTAAAAAGGCTGTATTTTGAGTGCTGCAAGGCGCTCCTTCCAGGTAACCCGCTTCACATTTGGGTAATAGCAAACTGAAAAAGGAAACAGGGATTTCGATTTATTTCTTACATCGTAGTCATTAATTATAGTAATTCTTAGATATAACACTTATTCGTTTGGTGTCAGACACGACCGTATAGCTATGCTCGATTGCAAAAACTTGTACTTTTATGAATTTTTATGGTGCGAGCTTTAGTCACATATACGAAATTGCGCACAACGACGTCTACAATAATGATAACAAATGGACTATTTTAAAACCGTTTAATTGAGGAGGTTTTTGTTATAGAAAGGTTAAAGCTCAAGTTGTATTTCAAGGATTTTCAATAAGATTTAATAATTTTTTTCTTACACGTGTTGGAACTCCTCTATCTGAGTGGTCCTGGATCATTTCAACAATTGATACGAGAGTGCACGACTACGCCCCTGTTTCTTTTTTATTGATTAGATTGTAGATTCGGTACGGAGTTAGGTACATCGATTTGTTTTCTTTGTAAACGAAAGTGAGATGGAAATTTCAAAGTAAAATTAGGCGGGTTTGGTCACCTAACGTTTTTTATATTTTTAGGGGGAAAAAAACAACAAATGATGCTCACACTTTGTAGGTTCATTTGAAATTTAAATGGGAGGAAGTTATTGGTAGGCCCACTGGCGCCATTTGGAATGAATTATGAAATTTTCTTCGCTAATTGGCGTCATTTTTTCCATAACGGCAGGGAAAATTTATAGTGGCAATCAAGAGTCTTTAATGAACATAATCTGCCGTTGCAAATTCGCTTACAGCCTTAATTGGAGACAATTTCGATGTAAATTGGTAAGGCTTTTACAATTGTTCAATAAGCAACAACAATATTGAGAAAACTACCATAATATGTAGATGAAAACACTTGCATTTTGATTATTAGAGATGTTTTAAATTTAAAAATTATAATTAGAAGTCAGAGTTATGTATGTACTTTTTCCTCACTACGTTTTTAGTACCTAGTTATCGGATAACGGAAAACAGATAAGTACAGAACATTGATAAAGAATAATGGTGCGATACCTAATATTATGCAAATATTGCAATTTTGCACACACGTAGTTATTCATTTTCAGTGAGACAGCGAATTATAGTCCATACAAAGATTTGATAGAAAGTTACAGAGAATCGAGCTGACGCATCATTTCTAAAAAAAAGTTACCGGCTAGACGCAAAAATAGCGTATTGAAATTAGAAGTTTTTCAAAAATAAGAAATGTATATATTAATCTTGCCCAAAACTAACTATTATTATTTTAATTGGCTATGGCTTAATTTAGGAATATATGGCATTTGAAATACACAGACTTAACGATTTGGCTTACACAACTTACTATGCCAAAATAAAAAGAATCTGCTGCAATTAATAAGTTTTGATCCAAAAGAATAATGAATGATGTTACAATTTACACGGTTGTACACAGGCGTAGTTTTAAAGTCTTTGGGTTATCGAAAGCAAAATGGTTAAGTCAAAAACTTATAAACTATGCCCATTAGTAAACTAAAAATAGAAAAAAAAATTCCTCTTAATATAAATTATGTTGCAACAGCGTCGATTATAATTTATAATTCCTGTAATTTATAAAATTGAATTTGATATCTGTAAAAATGGAGCATGCCTAAAATTAATACTTACATTGTTAACACAGAGATGAAGAGTATCGATTTTACAAGTTGATTGGACATTCTGCCAAGTTGTGGGTATTATTATCTCACGTATGGAAACAATACAAACGAAAAAATGTTGATACCTCAGCTCGTGTTCATAAACGTAATATCGCTCTCGATACGTGTGGGTACGTGTGTGACTGACGATTAACCGAGATTAATAATAACAACAACAAAACAGTGGTGCACTTTCGGTTACGTCACACACATATGTATCGTATATGTAGGTTTCCGTGGCTTGTTTCGATGTCGATATTAATTTTTCGGTCGATTCTATGCCAAAATGTTTCTGTTTTTCCTAGAATAATTATAACTGACGGTTGGCCTTAATTTCTCGTCGTTTTATTAACTCATAACTAATCGTCTTTGAATGTAGATGTATTTGTATATTATTAGCCGAAATTTGTATCTTTAATATCTATCATGCAACGCATACGAATGCACTCATATATTGTCATTATTCTGCATAATGCAGGTGATAATAGGCACAAGCGATTCAAAAATAGGCGCTAAAACAATTTGAAACTACTCGCAAATTAAAGAAAAATGCAGGGGTTGAGGGATACAGGGATCACGGAAGCAGATATGTATGATTTTTGTTTTTAATGCATTTTTCATTTGAATTTTACATTTGGTAATATTTGAAACAGGAATTTTTAATGTATCGTACAAGTTCCTGATGAAGGGAATAAGCTTCCTACTAAAATCCTTCAAATTAGGTATTTTCCCAATATTAGATTCTAAAATTGTTTCATTTTGTAGTAGACATTATAATTTTAGATACTTGTGAAGTTGTAAAGAACCATATCTACTTATATAATCGACCAAATTACAAAATTTATTTTTAAGTCAGTCAATGTTGAACAGAAATAGGCACCCGACTTATGACAGTTTCTCCCCTTCCTTATTTCGGTTGTAGGTATTTATGGTAATTTTTGAAAAAGAAAATATGGGAATTGCATTGTCTTACTTTTAATTTTAAATAACTGGGTAAAAACAATTTTGTTACATATTATGGTATAGGAGAAAAGCACACCGTGTGTTTGGAAAGCTACTTAGACGATTAGTCCCGAGGGTGTACTTCCGGTATTTTCGCACCCCGCGTTGAAATTGTTTTCCTCCCTGTTACCAAGGTGCGCGCTATATCATTTTTATAGCTCGATATTTGTTCTTCTGTTGTTTACTCTCCTTTAGGAGCAGCAAGCGACTTCCTTTATTTTTCCGCTATTTTTATCGGACGGCAGTAACAGAACACCAATGAAATTGCAATTTTGTAGTAAGTTGATGCTATTCGATCTGTTTGTCGATCGATATCGACACTGGTACATAAGTAGCCATTAAATTTAATTAAAGTAGATTGGTAAGTCACATGATGCAAGTTAACTTTGATAAGGATATAGAAAACCACTTTCATTTTGTGTTAACCATTTTCACATTCGGCCTTTAAAAAAGTTGCACTTTCTTTTTATTCCTACACTCAAAATAATAGATATTTTATAACGTCTTGGATACCGTTAAATAATTAAACAATTTTTAAGATCTGAATCGTGATAACTATTAAATTTAGTATAAATAATGTGTTAAATGTGTTGTAGATACTTGAGTACGTTCTTGATCCAGAATTTGCTACTTTAGTATAAACGCATCTTAGTGTTCATAAGATTTACTACATTTTCGATGAGCATTACAATCAGTTAATCAGGACATCATCATCATCATAAAGTAGTTAGTCCTAAGACTGATTGAACACGCACCTCCACTTTTTCCTATCCTGAAACTATAACAGACTATATCCTCAACTATTTGTGAACACTAAGTAATCTACGAAGTAGTTTCCATTTCTCTTCCTAATGTATATGATGTGATGAGACTAATTTAATAATAAAACAACTGTTGACTTCAATTCTAAAGGGAAAGGCATTGGACTACGTCAATTAATTAGAAATAGTTACTTCTGTATTGTTTTTATCACCTTGAAGGGGTTGTTTTCGTAGAATTTTACAGAGGTAATTGCCCAATTACCTTATTGTTGACAAGTTATTGTCATATTCTGCCATCATCTACGTCGCAATTGTGCCCTAAATTTGCATGCTGATTGAATACATTTTGACTGACTTGTTTTGGAACGTACTTACTGCGAATACTTAATGATTCTAAGCTCGATAGAATAAATATAGTTATATAGTACCATTATTAAGAGATTGTGTGTGAACCATGTATTCAACGAAATATGCCTTATATTACAACAGGAAAATAGGCTGAATCGTATGCTATACAGCATTCAGAGTTAGCCATGACTTACGTTTATTTTACTTTGCTTGAAGACACTGGTTTTGCCGGGGACTTAACTATACCAATAAAACTCTAACTTTGGCGTCGAGATCGCTCTCCGTACCGAGTCGTAACAATTTTTTACGTATACTGAACCTATATAGAAAAAATGCTTTAATTTTTCACGTTGATAACGTCTTTTGTTTCATTTGGACGTAGAATCGTGATGTTCTTTTTGTGAGCCAGTCGCAATTCCCAGCAAAAAACATATTTTACCGTAATCGTTATCGCTGTTGCTTACAATTTCGTAAACTTTTAGTAGCGCTTTGTTTTATTTCCCTGATTAAATTGCAAATTTCTCTTTATTCCTGTCTACTGTTCTTTTTTTTGACAGGGTCGTAGAACAGAACTCTTGCAAGCTGTACCACAAAGTGCTTATTAATATTTTTCGAGACGGAGTCGTTTATTTGATTTGAAGCTTTATATAGCGTAGATATAGTTGCTCAAAGTACATACATACATATATACGTAGTAAGAATCTTATAATTTGACACAAAGGAAGAATAAAAAAGCCAAAAATTATTAATTTTTAATTCTAATTATGTAGAATTATTGTGCTGTAAATGTAATTTACAATGCGGCATAAACCATTCAATTAGCATACAAAACTTACGTTCTACTTAGAAGGCAAACTTCTCAAAGTCATGTTAAGAAGGACTGAAATGGTAAACAGTTTGGCTAATCTCCCACTCGAGAAAACGATACTGTTTGCTACTTACAAATTAAATAATATAGACGCGCAAATATTTCAACACATTTTATTAAATAATTAGGCAATTTTAACTTGCATGCAATTTATATATCTTCTTTGTTGATGAAAGTGTATTGTTGATTTGTTTTATCTTTCAGTGCAAATCGATTTTAATACAATCTCCCATTTTACATCATTACCCTCCCATGACGCTGGAGGAGGGTTGCTTTAATAGGCGTTAGATACTTAAACTATAATATTGTTTATTGCTTCATCATTAAACGTATCTGCGATTTTATTTGCCTATCGCACTAAAGCTTATACCTAGATCTCAGTTTATGGGCAATAATTTTCCGATGCAAGTGAATGGAAATAACACTACACGAGAATTACATTAGGAAATTTATTTGTTATTCACTTTAAGTACATGAGAGACAAATATATTTTGTAGATATTAGTTTGGAAAATCCAGGATTTCAGCAGAATTAAATAATCTGCCCTTATTTTGTAAAGGATTCGATTGTTGTTATGTAAGTAAAAGCCGCTTTAAAGTTGTTGCTTTGTCAAAAAATTAAAGAATCGTGATTTTTAAACAGATCCGTATGATATTTTCAAATATTAAGTACTAGATTAAAAGTAAGTAATTAAAATTAAATTTAATACAAAAATTAAGTAATGTGTTTTACAATAAATGTTAATAATACGGTGGATATGCGTTTTTCTTAAAATTGTCCATAAAGATAAACGTCTATCATTGCTGTAACCCTCGGGAGAGGTTGATGACCCCGGCGGTAGATAAAGCGTCACCGATACTATTTCTCAATTTTTCACATTCCCGAGAACACATGTAAAATATCTCCGAAATAGGGTGTTCTTGTATGTACTTAATAGGTATTTTGTCTTCGTTTTATTGTTTTGCGACCGATAAATGACACCACAAGAAGACAATAAGCGAAATTGTTAACTAATTTCCTCAAATACCACAGTAGATAATTAATTTATGTGATAGGTAATAACAATTTTCAAAGATTACTATCTGTAGTAGCATTATTGGGATATTGAGTGATTTGGACCAAGTTTTGTAGCTTCAACCGCCGCTTTAAGACAAACAAACTGCAGTTATACTTTTACACGAACTTTTTTAAATTTAGTTCAAGCGCTTCGGAAAATATTCAAATTCGCTGGCGATCCGCGAAAATGGATTTATGTGCGCGGAACGGGTCGTTATTCATTTTTTTAAAGGGCCGTCTATCATAATATTTTCAAAATTCCTGGAAGCAATAACTTTGGGAAATGCCTTCGATTTATTTTCTCGTAATATATCGCATATACAGAAAACGGTCCCCAAAGGAAACACAAAAGGGATGAGTATGAAGAAAATCGGTTTATATTATCGGAAAATTTAAATTTGTCGTATACGGTGTACCTACCTCCCGATGCAAACAAATTATCCGATTTTATGTTTCTCTACAATAAAGGATGAGCTTATCCTGACTAACTGATGGGTGATCAACCTATTGAGAGAAACGATTTGAATGAAATTTTGAAAGAGGTGGCATGCCGCTAATTTTACTATGTTTAGCACATCATCTGTAGTAGTATTACGGTCTTTTGTGATTTTTTACTGTAAAGATTTGCTTCTCAAAGCCAGGGAAATGTTCGAAAGATATAAGAACGTTGACAGTGATGTTCCCATTTATGTTTGAGTCGTCTGGCTGCAACAATGGGAGAAATAAGAGTTGCTATGGCTCAGGAATAACGTTAACAAGAGAATCAGTCCAACTTTCATGAAACTTAATCCAGACATTCTCCCTTTTATTCCCACAGTTTGCTAGCGTAACTTTTTGACTAACTTTTAGGTTCACTAAACCGAATGAATAAAACATTCGCGTTGTCGTTGCACCTCTATGCACTTCGTAAATTCGAAAATTGAAAAGATGCAGGTGTGCATTTTTTATAATAAAATGATAATAATTAATAATATATTAGACATTTATAATACACGCCCCGAAAAACAAAAATATCATTGTTTTTAGAATTTGTTTGTTTGAATTCAAATGATCTGGATTTCTTTATTATTAAATTCGAAATTTGAGGATGTTCATGGAAACATAATTAAAAAAGTTAAACCTTTAATAATGTAACGGCCGAAACACGTTAGATACATCAGTCAACCCTTCTGCAAAACTTGAACTAAGCGTTTTTTAATTAA